ACATCCCAACCCCACATCAGCTTCATATTCCATTATAAACAAATCTACAAAACTGAACACCAAACCTACATAAAATCCTCAACTCAGGGAACAGAGCCGCCGATCACCGATTCCAATCACCAACATCCGCCCCCCAACCCCTCCAAAGAATCATCGACGACCCCCGCCCACGCCCATACGCCCACGAGCGGGTTCATCCCTTCACCCTCACACCCACACCCACACCCTCAAGATAGTGGAAGTTTTCAATGTGTTGAATGATTTTAAAAGAAAATGTTTTTTTACCTTTGACCTTCGATCCTGGCCCAAACAGACAAACTATCTTTTCATATAACCCTCCTTACAGTCGAGGAAATTATGTATTCAATTGAATCCTCCACTGATGTACTTATATTAATGATGCATGAGTTGGCACTTGATTAACTGCAATAAAAAGACACCATGGCAAAGGCGCACAAGAAATGTCAACTTGGACTTCTTCTTCGTCTTCTTCGCCATTCTCTTCTATTAAATTTAATCGATGTTTGTCACAATCTAATATCAATGTATGTACGATGTTGACTCTATCGATTCTTAAATCTTGGAAGCGTCTGCGGTGAAGTACTCTATTAAGAACAAGACCGTAAATCTTTTTCCCAGCCGTACGTCGAACGGTCAACGCCATATGAGCCTCGAAGTAGCTCAGCAGGTTTGGGTAGTATGTTTCGCGAACAAATACCAATAATTGGATTGCTGCTATGAGTATCAGCTGAACATGAATAAGTACCAAGAACACATTCACGAACCCCAAATACGAAACCCATAAGTGATCGTTCACTACTCAACAGATTGGATTTATTTTCATCAGAAACATGAACTTCTGCAACTTGTTCGTCCGTTATTGTGTTGACGGTAGTAGACATAGTTGACAGCGATATATTAGATACTGTTTTCATCGTAATAAAAGGTGTTTTGTTACTCTGAAACGACAGTACATTTTTATATTATGTTTTTATGCATCTCGATGGTTGCGTGGTTACAAATACAGAGTTGAAAATAATATTTTGGTAGGGGGTATCGCTCCTATTTCCAATAGGACACCTAATGAATCTTATACCAAAAGAAAGCCCGCAAAAATAGGGTTTATTTATGATAAAAAATACGGATTTTGCAAACTTTTTTATATTGTAATTCTCAAAGTTTAGAGGTTTTTGTAACATTATCTTCAAAGCTACTTGTTGAACATAGAAAAGTATAATATTCTTTTGAGAAATTTCAATCAACATTCCTTAGTGACCGTAAGACCTAACCCCGACACAAAAGATACGATTTTTTTTCTTGCGTTCTGTTGTTTGTCCCTCGTGGCCACGCCGATTATAATCAAATTTGTCTTTATCTCTTACAAACAAAAATCTGCTTTTCCGACGAATCGATTAGGTGTTATTCTTTTAAATGGCTGGCACTTATGATACAGAAGGGCAAAGAATCGTTGACATAAATATATCTATCGCTCTTTGTGAAGCTCAAGATGCTGGTGCAACATTCATCAATCGAGATTGGATTGCAGAGAAAAGTCATCGTTCAGTTCGGTTTATTACGAACCGGTGGCAAAAGCCGTATGGTCAATGTTTTGCTGACTATTCAAACACTAATCCTAAAGTAAAACTGTCGCAAGCGAGTCGGGAAGTTATCCTTGAAGCCAGTGGTTGATAAAGAAAAAGTTGTTCGGCGGTAGCGAAAGAAGGTGTGAGGGTGAGTTTCAACCGACAATGCAAAGGATTTCAAGTAAAACAATCATTTCATTTGTCCACGAATGCACACAGGACATGTTCAAATAAGTACGAGAATCTTATTCGAAAAGAACATTTAACTCCTGTACTACCAGCCTGGGTCATT